GGTTTTACTGTAACACAATTTGCTTCACACACGAACAATTTATCAAAACCAGAGCTAAAACCATTCAAGGAAGAAAACAATTTACGATATGCATCTGTTCGACGATCCATTCCTCTAAAGCAGAATCAACTCCTTGGAACAAATCAGGCCATCTCACTTTCGCAGCCTATAAACACGAAACAATCAACAGAACTTCAAATGTAGCTTCCAATTTTCGAAACCAGAATCAAAGAAACAAAACCCAGGAAGAGTTTCTCGGAATCTAAACAGAGATCTAGAGTATTCAAGAGATTGAAAATTGACCTTAACAGCAGAAAGAGAGCTTTCTCCACAACTATCATAGAGAACTCCATCGAAGTCCAAAGCATAGAGATCTTCCATTTCTCTGTTACTCCACCTACCACAGCATGGTAAACAATTAAAGAGAATAATATCGACCATCATCACAGCTGAAACATACCCAAAACTTTCAATCCCCTACCACTGAACGGTTTCACAATAGACTAAGAAGAAAAGCAGATAAATTTCATAAAGACCACTAAGGATTGAAAGACTCCAGGCCATCAGTCGAGCAAGCACAAATTAAAGAGTAAGAAAGACAGATACATATAGATCAAAGCTGATGGAACATTGCCAAAGAATGATGGAAGTACTAGGAAACAAAGAAACAAAAGAAACCATAAGATCTTCTTTGCTGATATTGAAACTCTAAACAAGATTGATATAGAACTTGGTTATTATATATAAAATACCTTTGCTAGCAGCATAGTGAAGAGCACAGCTCGACCACCATTGTTTATGGCATTGACATCAGCAGCTGAACACAAAACGAAAAACCATCATCAAATTTTATCAATCTTCTCATAACTGCATCTTAAAAGGAACCGAAAGAGGAGCTAATCAGTAGAAGAAGCAACACATAAAACCCACTTCAACATAGTAATTTATATGCAATCATCAGTTAAACAAGGTTTCTCTAACAACGGATAAGCAAATTGACTCCTAATTTCTTCGATTTCTAGTAATCAAAGAGGCTAATACTTGTATCTAACAACGGCTTAGTAGTACTAGAAGAGAAAAGATGAACAAACCTGGGTATGACCAAAGGAAGCTGAGACACGGAGGAGAGAGCCACCATCTTCGTTTCTGAAACTGAGAGATTTTTGAAGCTGTTGAGGAGATATAGACATGAACAACAAAGCATCACCAGATTCCGCTGCTTTGAATAGTTCTTCGTCTCTGATCTGTAGCTTCGAAGCATCGATTCCAGTTTCCATGGCTTCGGATTTAATCAAAGCTTTTTCGAAATTTCAGAGAATCCAGAAAGAGAGACGGATTTGGATCAACCGATCGAAATCTTTTCCTCATTCATATCGGA